CGCCTCAGATAGAGATAAAACAGTGAGAAAACCATAACCTAGATAAACGAACAGGTGAATCTCAATAGGGGGCGGTTATCTAATTTACCGTTGACCATGGCCTGATTTACTAATCCGTGTGATACATCATCTAGCTGTAAGCAAACACAACAGGAATCGGAGACAGAGAAAAGGATGAACTCACAGAATACCGACCCAATTGGTGCGCCGAGAACCGTGCCACAGGAGCTGTCGATTGTGTTGTGCACCTCGGTAACTTTCAAAACGAGCTTTTTCATCCGCACGCTCCACGTCGAAAACGGACAGCACTTGTAGCTTGTAGTTGGAGTGCGTGGCTGCGTGAGTGAGCGACACGTATTGCTGAATACGTGCAAACTCCTCGGATGTCTTGTCCATGGGCTACGAAAACCATGGACAGAATTCCCGAAAATGTGGTCATTAGAAATAAGCTTACGAAGTAATTAAAACTGTTGACAAGGTATTGAACTGAATTCCATTTCGCCTGTTCGCCGAGCTTGGCAATTTATTTGCAAACGTTTCATCACATCAGTTGAGGTGACATCGTCAGTGCTTGTGAAATCAAAACTACCATGGCGTCCAAATCAGCGTTGCAAAGTGTATCATTAAATCACACAGACCGCTATTTATACGTCATTAGAAATCAACTACTATCGCACGCTAAAAGCTAGGAATGATACGGGAATCACTGTACGAGAGGACTTGGGATGATTCATACATTGCGTGAGAGCGTCATAAATGGCCCTCCACAAAGCAAGTTGAATTCATTAATCAAACGTGTTTTCGGACCGTTTAAAACAGACTTATTAACCCGTTCGTTATGAGCATATATTCGGCGACACACTGAATGAACTATACATGTTTGGAATCCATCAGCAGGTTGGGACACGAGAGCAATCGAACGTTCTCGGAGAATACGAACCAAAATGGTCAAAGGACCGCAAACGGAGGTCACTCGTATAGCACCCATCTGTCGACATTAACCAATAAAAATCGCATCTCAGAGAATATTCCTCTAAAAAAGTGCTGACCTAGATAGCTGGGGCATCAGGGAATGGAATACCTGAAACTCCTTTCTATCTTTGTGTTCCAAACATCGGCTCTCCGACAACCGTGGGTAAAAAAAGCTACTTATGAATCAGTTAATTTTTCCCATCATCCGAACCCAAGACCGTATGGGAATTCCCCAAGTCTGAGTTTTGCAATTTGCCGATAATCAAAATACAGAGTTGAGCTCACCACCATAGTGGCAGACAATCAGTATGATCAAGATGTTGACACTCACTCGGAGATTTGTTTTCAGTTGACGATAGTGTTGATCTGCCGGATGCTCATCTCCAGTACCACCCTGTTTCAGAATGCTGTAGGCCAGTTCGATTTCACGCAAATCTTCCAACATTTGTAGCTTGGTTTTGATCATTTTTCTATTGTCCAACAACGGTGGTGTTTTCATCCCAAAATCATGTGGGATCAGAGTGTAAAAGCGTGTGGATTCCCCGAGCAACAATGTCTGATCGACCGGTTGT